AAAATCAAACTACAACACTGAACTATTTTTCACACAAATCCTGTAAGATAATGCTATGGATGATCAATATATAGCTCTCTTTTCTGCAACCCTGAACCTCTCCATCATAATAATAGCTAACATGCCAGCAAGTTGTGCCATCTGCACACATCTGGTTTCTACAGTTAGATATCGAATGAAACTTTATCTAGAAACTAACTGAGGAAGACAACAATCAAGGACTGCTCTGGGACAACTGAAATTGAAGACCAATTTACAAAGCAGTAAAAGAACAAAAAAACCCCAAACATTTCTAATTTTAAAAAAAGGCAGAGAACAGTCATCAAAGAAGTGGCTTCAGTGCCTGCCTCCCCCTGCACCACAGGAACACAATAGCATCTGACAAAGTAATTAGTGCACAAACCAAAGGCTCATCTGTCCTTCTTCCAATAGAGAAAAAGATGATATACCTATGTTTAAAAACATACACATCCATTTAAAAAACACTGAGCAGTCTGATTTTAGAAAAAGTTGTCTACCTATCTGTTACAAAACAGCCAAACCAAAAACAAATGCACACTAACAAATCAATATTAAAGCATCTATTGATAATTCTTTGCTCACTACTGAAAGGGGGGAAGAAGCCTTATTAAAAAATTAACTGGTTTACCTACTTCTTACATAAAATCCCAAGAGTCCACTAAAAATTAGTCCTACTAAAAATTAGGAATACTTTCAGGAATGGCTAAGAGCTGTATCTTCTAACTCAGATTTTTCCTAACAAGCAAAATCATCTAGGAGTAAGAGAGCTTGCTATTCTGCACAGGAGTCATCTACATGATGAATTAGCTGTAGACATCGGACCCTATTAACAGCCTTCTGAATTTTCTTGTGCCAAAAGTGCACCTTGTTCCAATTAAGCTTAATCCACTTACTCCCTTTTGGAGTGGCACACACTTACACCACAAGAACTACAGGGTAATAAGGTACTTAATTCTAAAATTGCAATCCAAGAGCCAGGCATCTGGGTTTAGCTTACAGTTTGCTTTGTTACTTTAATGGGCAATTCTTTGAGCGTTTGAAGATTCCTAGTTTTCCTAATATGAAGGCTTCCTAGTCCAAGGAAACATCTCTTGCATTCACCAAGAGCCAAACAACTGTCATACCTCTGCCTAAATTCTTGAGGTTAATCTGACATAAACAAAGTGCACCTCTTACACTGAAAGGACTTAAGTTCCTCACAGAACCCAAGTAGTTAACCAATTGCTGTTCACTGGAGAGTTACCAGGGGAGGAAGGAGCAGCAGTACTTACCCAGCAGATGTGAGGCTCAGATTCCACAGCCTCCTGCTGGAACTGGCCACCGTGCAGATGAGCATGCCAAGTTGTGTGGCCAGAAAATAGCACGAGGCAGAACGAGGAAGTAAAACATAGGCTGCCTCTGCAGCTTGTCAGTGGACTTAAAGGAGCAAGGAGACAGTTTGGATTTCTGGTGAACCTCAGATTTTCTAAAAATTTATTTCTTGGGTAGCAGGAACTACAGACAGTAGCTCAGTACAAGCACACTTAAAGCAAACAGAGATTAAGCTCACCTCTCTTTCAGTCACGCCCCCTGGTGCTCCTGTCTTCCCAAACTCTGCACCCATACTTTCTTTTTATTCTCCACACCAAAATTAGGACCCATCCCAATCCACTCACCTCTGTTCCTGTAAGGTGATTAGCAGGAACTGCATGTGGGGCAGTCCCTGTACTGAGGGGTGAGCATCTCTGCAGAGACAGATTTAAAGTGACCACAGGTGCGTGGGACTTTACCCAATGGTTCATATAATCACCTCAACAGTATTACTCCAAACATGTCACCCACAAGCAGTTTCTTTGGTAACCACCAAACTCCATTATACATAATAAACTTCAGTTTATTTGGCAGAAATCAACACTGAAATGTTTTGAAAAACCTGCTGCTCACTAGAGTGCTATGGGCTAGGTACATATTTAAAAAATAGAGCTGTAAAAGATGGGAATCATGTCTCCAGTTCTGTAGTTATTTGGAAGCCAGGTGGAGGTGCCACTACATAAATTCAGTGCTCTAGATGCAATTCATTGGAGCTTTGAATCAAGCAGGAGTTTCAAAAACTGTCTCCTCATATACTAAGTACAAAATAAACTACAGGACACCCAGCACAGCACTTTAGATTAGGCACTACAATTTAGAAACCTGAACTTCTGTGATTAAGGCTCATAGGTTGTAAGCACTCAACTACTCCATCTATCCCAGAGTGTCATAAAATCTACATAAAAATTAAGTCAGGAATAAGTATGATGCTTAAGTTTATAACCGGCCTTATTTCAGGAAAAGTCTGTTGCAGGAAAGGCCAACAGAGCTGCTGTAATCTGCAAATTGTAATTTCTGTTCTAACAATACTGTGTATTAACTTAGCTTGCACATTTTCTATTCTTAACCAACTGAAGCTGTTTAAGAAAAGCTATTTATGTCAAGATTTAAACTACCTGAAAAAACAGTAGAAAAAGCTTACCATTTCAATAAAAGGACACAGTAACTTCAAATGTTCAATAATACAAAACATAAAGGAAAGACCTATTTTTGAGTAACAACTCTGCAGGTGCACTCACTTCACAATGACTGTCACACTTGGGAGTTATTCCACAGATCAGCAAGCCCTGGAGATACAGCATTATTGCTCTCCATTTGTGAATCCGAATTTAAGTAGAAATTTTAGATTGGGATAAATGAATGGAATTCCACCAACATTTCAGTGTTTTATTTGAAAGTTGGGAGGCTTCAGCATGTCTAAATACTGGCCAACAGTAATATTTTTCTCTTAGTTTTGTAAATTAAAAAGTTCAAACACCTCCAGTATTTTAGTTTTGACACTGCAGTATGTTCATTTAGATGTAATAATGGTCCTGAAGTAAAGGACCATTAAAGACTTACAAGGCTTCTCTTAAAACTTCTTTAGCTTTAACAGCCTACATAGAGTAAGAAGAGGCATTATTTATAATTTCTGACTTGACGGTTGCAAAAAACCCCTGTAATTATAGTCCAAGACATATAATACAAGAAATTAATTGTACTGTTCTCTATCAATGAGCTTTCTATAACACTTTTTTTTTTTTCATGTAGACAATTTCAAGTTCCCTTTTGGGTAATAGAAAGCAGCAGTTACATATGCAACAACAAAAAAATCCTTGCTCTTTAGTTCTTTAGTATCTTTACCTAAGTCTTTGACGGTTGCAAAAAACCCCTGTAATTATAGTCCAAGACATATAATACAAGAAATTAATTGTACGTTCTCTATCAATGAGCTTTCTATAACACTTTTTTTTTTTTCATGTAGACAATTTCAAGTTCCCTTTTGGGTAATAGAAAGCAGCAGTTACATATGCAACAACAAAAAAATCCTTGCTCTTTAGTTCTTTAGTATCTTTACCTAAGTCTTACTATTTTGATTTAAGTTAGTTACTACTACCAAACTAAGGGAAGAGATAATGCAAAGAAACATCCAAATAAATAACTTTTTTGTTCCCAAAAAATAGCACCATTTTTGTTTTTCACTTCAATACTCAGGACTGCCTTGTTTATGCTACTACAGCAACAGCAGTACCCCCAAGATTATCTAACTTTATCACCTCAGCATTACCCAAGAGAAAGCAGTGGAAATGCTATACCAGTAATTTGTTCATCAGCTCAGCCACACTAACCCCTGATGTAGCATGGCAACCAGGAGAACGTAAAATTGCCTTCATTTTATCGGTGAAGAGCTATTACTGAAACTATTCATACACCTACATACCCTTTATACTAGCACCTGAGAGACAAACAATTATCAAGTAAGGAGATTACAAGTGCACTTCTTTCAATTCAGTTAATTTGTATAGAATGAAGACTTGACTACAATACAGAGCTTAGTGTTACTGCTCTCACACATAAATGAGCAGGACAAAATGCATACATATATACACACAGAGAGGTTTAGTAACTACTAGAAATAGAAAATGAGCTTAAATTGAGATTTCTGCCATGCTGTTACCTCCTCCCTGATCTCTAAACTAGGTTCTATTTTAACCTCACCTGTAAGAATGTCTGATGGCTGCAAACTACTTCTCATTTTCTACTTTCATCTTTCTTTATACTTATTTCTTTCCATTTCAGGTTGTTTACTATTCTTTGCCATCTTATTACATTCATTTAATAGATCAGTATAAAGCTAAGGGGACAGAAAAAGTTTCCAGAGGTTCCAATATTGGCTTTTAGCTAAGATTATCTTCTTTGGCCTTGTATTTAACTATCAGTGTTTTTTATTTTACCCCAGAAGTTTTTTCAGGACTTCTAGACACTACTGAAACACAGTAATTTTCTCCTTATTAAAGTGGATTACTTGGTCCAAGCTTACAAGGCACAGCTGCCTGCAGGACCATGTGCTGCACTTGGCAGGCACCCACTTACACCAAAACCTGTCTTCCACTCCAGTGCTCCTCCTTTACCATCAACGCTTTTGAGTATAGCTTCAAAAGATTCATAAACCACATATACAGCCCTAGAGTTTTAAGTCTCCATGCCCTGCATTAGTTTTTTCACCTTACCCCTCCATTATTCCAGTAAGATGTGACGGTAAACATCTTTGTACATGCATCAGACAGAACTCCAGACTCCTAGAGAAAGCTAAGTAGTTGATTTCATTTGGTCCCCAACAGTAAAGCCTTAGCATTTGTCAAGTGAAAAGAAACAGTATCTGATCTCCTTTGTATGCCCTAGTTTTCAAACAGGAATTCACCAGTAGCCATCCAAAGCTGACCAGTAAAATACAGATATTTTTTTTTGATCTTCAGAATAGCCCTGAAGCATCACCATGTCAGGACAGCCACATATCTGCCTCAACTACCTACCTGCAACATAGTTTAGTAGTGTTTAAGTAACTAGACTGTTGGTTTTTTTAAGCAAAATAGTAACTTTATTTAATCTATTTTCTAATGCATTTAAAAATAAAAACAAAACACACAGAACTGTGGTTGTAAGGTACTGTGGCTAACCACAATTCTCACCTAGTGGAATTTTAGCACTGAAGAGTCCAAACATTTGACCGTTTGATGTTATGTTGGTTTTCAGTTCTGGCACATGCTTTAAGCTTCCCACTTCTTCAGGACACTGAGCAAAGTTTTAGAGCTATCCAAAATCTTCATGTAGGCAGCTTCAGTTTCAGCAAGAATTTTATCAAGCTCCTTCCGTGAAGCTACCTTTTGGGCCAGGTTTTCACAGACACACTCCAGCTGTTCACTTAGGACTTGGATTTCATACTGAAGTTTACTCTTTTCCTCTTCTGCTTGCTGGATTTGTTTGTTCAGCTCTTCTTTCTGCATGCATAAGTCTTCGATGCATTTCACTAGCTCATTATTGTAACCCTGAAGCACAGCTCCCTGCTGAGTCATTCTCCACTGCTCCCCGAAGTCCCCTCTGAGCAACAGCCTTCTCTGCTTAAAAAAAAAAGACAATAAACAACAGAAAGAAAAAATTTTGTAAGAGAGTTATCATGAATGATGCTACACTAGAACAGAGCCACAGGAAAAGACGCTCTGTTTAAGGTTAACATGCTAGTTCTGAGTTGTGCTACATCTCTTCCCTTTTCAGGAAAGGGGCAGGTCAAAATTCAGCACCTACACTGTACCTTTACTGGAAATTGTTTCTCCTATGATACCCTTATAGCAATGCTCACCTCTGGTATCAAAGACTTCTGTTATATTTTATAGTATCTTAATACCATTCTGAACAGATGATGATTTGTATCTCAGATTCCGAGGGTCTGGTCAGAAATAACCCAAAAACCCTTTTCCTCAGCAGTCACCTCCAGCAGCGCCATCCA